GAGTGTACGAAACACTATTCTTAAGGGAAAAGACCCTTCTTAAATGAACAGGACAGTGCTGCATTTACTATTTCATCATAAATAGATTGCAACATTAAAACTGACCAAAATTACTTTCTCAACTTTTTTAACAGAAAAATATCATTTTGGCTACTTTTGTGTAAAAATTTAATTTTTCTTTTATGACTAAAGACTTCTTCTATAAAATATGACACATTAAAAATGAAACAATTCAGCAAAACATTAATTTCCTTTGACATAAGCTTAAGCCGAAATTCATCAGTTTTCAGCTGTTCTGCTTTTGACAGAAGAAAATCAATTAGTATTCAAATTTCCATAAAAAAAGAAAATTCTCAACTTTTTCTAGCCAATGCACTAGAACTTTTTGTTATAATTCTATAACAATGTTTTACCTGGCAACAGCTCAAAGACATGATTCATATGCAGTTTTAGGGGTCACATCAGCACACCAGGAATTTTGCCCACAGGACACCAATACAGTTCTCTTTCAAGCCTTCTAAGGTTCTTTCCGTTGACTGAAATGAAATTTAGCTCTTGAAACGTGCTGGGTCTTCCCAGCATAAGAGAAGTACAGTTAAAAACAATAGGACAGAGCCTTGGATCCATTCTCAAGTTCTTGTGACATATTTGGAAGGAAATCTTGCAAAACATTGCAACAGCACAGAATGGCTTGAATGCCAATTATTTAGTTATGATTACTGTGATTTTCTTTCAAAACTTACCAGGTACCATTGCTTTGTAAATAAAGGATCATTCATGTTGATGTCAATGTCATTGATGTCTCTGTATCCTCGCTTCCTTCTGCTGAATCCTTCCTGTTGCACAGCTTTTTTTACCTGGAAGGGTTAATTTTTACATCTTTAGCTCAACAACCTTAACCACAGATACACAGATTTTTTAGCCTTCTTTTCATCACAGATAAACATTATGAAATCACATTATTTGTGTCTTTGTAATTAATTTGCAACTTCTAAACCTGTGGCTGATTTCAGTCAAAATTTGCAAAGGCAAAGAGAGCTCAAGGACTACTACAATGGCTATGTGGGGAGAGACACCCAGAATTGTCCTATTTAGAGGAAAGCTTGAAAATGTTTTAAATATCTGAGAATCTGCATAAGAGTGAGCCTCTATTCAGGTATTATTAGTATAATGGATCTTCTTGCCATACTGTTCTTTTTTATAGCCACCGATATCAAAACATTGTTGTTATTAGAAGCTAAAATTTAACTAATTTCCAATATGTCACTGTTCAAATCTGCAGGCATTTGACAAAATGAGGATGCAGGTCTCAAACACGCTTTTACTTTTTCAGGTGTTTCTCCAGGGCAGTTTCAGAGTATTAGATAGCCTTTCCTGCCAAAGAGATTTGCTGGGAGGAAAATATCTTGGGTTGTGTGCTTTCATTACACTCTTGAGGTTCTCAAAAACACGTCTTGTAGAGCAATCTACTTTCAGGGATTATCCTTGCAATAAATAAGTGACAAACACACTGGCAAGAAAACCAAATGGCAAAAAAGCCACTAAACTGACCAGACTGCCTAAAGTCTAAGATATAAAAACACTGGTTATAAAACACAAGTAGCCATAGTTTTGTAGAGATGTTTTCCTTTACGAACAGCAAATCCACAAAAACGTTTAACTAAGCACTGTAGAAAACAAGAAGAGTTAGGCACACACATATCTTTGGAGGAAGGAACTACAAATGTCGGATCGTAATCATCTTATTTATACCCATGTAAAAGAGCACTCCTAAAGGAGATCACTGAAAGGTTGTAATTGTTGTTGTAGTATGTGCTAACATATTTCTAGACCTTGCAGAAGTGCTGTCAAATTTGGCATACTCTTTTTGTACTCTTTAGTCTAACACCTGAAACCAAGATAGCATGAGTCCCAGCATTTAACTCAAAATAAAATTAAAAGAATAAATCTAATCCTCTTGATCAAAGAGGAATGCTTAAAACCATGAACTTGTTACACCTTGAGATGCAGCAAGAAGACAGAAAAAAAAACTGCAAAAATGCAGGTTATTAAATGCATCCTTGAAAAAAATGCATGGTTATTAAATAAATCTAGTAACTCAGAAAACCACTTCTAAAAAAGTGGTTTTCTAACTTTCTAGTAAGAAATCTAGTAACTCGCAAAACCACTTCTACATGCGTGGCTTTGGCATTTCTGATTAAGAAGACCAGAAACAGGAGTTATACCTATAGCAGGAGTTATACCGCTGTGTCGCAGTAACTTATGTAGTGCCAGTCAAAATCAACAGAGGAGAAATTCATCCAAAGGCTAAATCAGATCTTAGGTCAGCTGAGTCATTCTTGGAGGTGTTCTTCTGTCTCCATTAATTAAAGCAAGAGCCTCAAAAGACAGTGCTCAGTGAGGTGCCTAAGGCTGAAATGAGACTGGGATCTAACTGATGGGGGCTAAAAGCTATTTTCCTCACAGCTATATTGCTTCATTATAACCCTGAAAACCTCATATCAATTCACAGTGAGCAGGACGGGGCAGTGTGCCCTGAAAGGCAGCATCACATGTTTCTAAAAATGTACTTGTGTGATTTCTAACTCCTTAACTAGAAGTACCAAACGATGAAATACTGAGCTGGTAGGTACTTTCATTTATACGTGTGTTTCCATTACTTATGCAGGTTCATCAAAAGTGGAGTGGATTGAAAAGAAAGAAAATCCTAATACAGAATAAGCTGGAAAGAGGACAGTGATTAAATAGGGCCCGCACTAGGTGTATTTAGTGGCACCAGGTATCTGTACAGAGGAAAGAAAGGTATAAGCACACTATTTGGTACCTCTAAGATAAGGCTCAGTGATGCCATGGAGACAACAGAGCAATCACCTGTCATTCTGTCTTCCTCCGTTACCTCCCCTGCCTCTCCGCTTGCGGCTGCAAATCCCGAGTTGTCACCACAGAAAATAATCATGAACAGAAGACAACCCTCACACAGAGGGACGCCAGAGAAAAAGATTTCAGGCGCTTGTGCTCCCACACAAGCTCGCTGGCTCTGCAGGACCTGCTGCGTTAAGGTGCTGAATTAGGATTTAGTACAAAAGGATTTCTGCTAATGAAAAAGCAATGCTGTGGAGCCCTGGCTTTTCTTTAAGACGACCCGGAGGAAGTGGGAAGCAATTTGCAGAAATAGCACAGGCTGGTTTCCCTCTTCAAGGTCATCTCATTTGTCTGATTTGTTCCATCTTCACAATAAAATATAAATTTTTTTCGTATTATATTATATTACATTACAATATAGTTTCCTGAGACAAGGAAACATACTCCTCAAGGAGGTACAACCTTCTCTGAACTAAAAGCACTCTGTAGGCTGTTTTTGAAATATTTCACATGGAGAAGAGGTGTACAGCATGTTACCATCTATGGATCTAAGAGTCTCAGATATTCTGAGGCCTCCTTTTCACTACAGAAACAAAGAGTTTTTCCTCATGTTCACTAATCACATCCAGAAAAGATTAGGCATTTCTGTCATGAAATGAGTTGAAAGGTTTAGGTAAGGGCTTGGCCGCATCCCACTTACCTACGCTAAAAACTGCCTCATTCAGTTGCCTCGTATAAG